TCTCGAATGCTTCATCAACACCGGGAATGGCAACTTGGAGGCGTCCGTGACAGCAAAGGCGAAGACAGCAGCCACAAGCGAGGGGGCTGCGATGTCCTCCAACTCAAGCCGCACAAAGCGGCCAACATCCCAAATATCCCAGAGCCCATACCCAACACCTGAAATCACAAGAACAGCGCGCACAGCACGCCCAATGACCATTTACGGACGAGCAGAGAGAATGGAAAACGTAGCAACGGTTATCCTTATGCACGAGTGAGACAGGCGACCGCACTGCCAGGTGCCACCAGTCTGAGAAGTACATCGACTTGACGAAACGGAAGATCCCACGTCGATGAAGGAAAAAACTGGCAACCCAAGCTGCGTAAGAGCACTATGCCAAGACAGAACATCGAGGCCAAAGGCGAGGATGGAAGCGCCAAGAACTCTCATCTTCCGACATTGCGGACGCAAGATACGGACCAACCGCACCAGGCTGAATACGCCAAGCCTGAGTTGAATCCTTATCATCCCACGTCAACGCACCGCGCTGACGAAAAACCTCGCGGAAACCATCTTCGAGAACTGCCAAAGGCTGAGAAGAGAGGGACCAGGGAACGGGCAAGTCATGGACTCCATCGTTCAGACACTGGCGCGCACGGTGCTGAACACGAGGGCGAAGACGATGCCGCTGGCCCCACTAAACCCAAGAACCTTGAAGTAGGCGTTGGCGACGTGGAACGGGCGGGCATACACGCGGTTTCCACGGAACTGAAGACGCAGAACCAGATGGGGACAGAGCATGCGGACTAAGGGCGTCAACAGGAATACGTTGGAATTTAGCATGTCACAAACCACGACTAAGTAATCAGGAACCATCGACGCACTGGGAGGGACAACGCTAAGTTGAGCAGACACCCACTTCCGAACAGGCTCACAACGGAATTCTTGAGGAGTAGTGAGGACGTAGCACCCCGCAAGTGCGGATCAGAGTGAGGGGGCGGGCGCGGGCGGGCGCGGGCGACGCGGGCGTCGAGCCGGCGGACCTCGTGGCCCTCACCTTCCCTGTCGATGGCGCCCTCCTTCTCCTCCTCCTTCTCCTCCTCCTCCTCCTGCTCCTCCTCCTCCTCCTCTTCCTCGTCCGCGTCCTCGTCCTCATCGTCGTCGTCGTCGTCGTCGTCGTCGTCCGCCTCCTCCTCCACCTTCTCCTCCTCTTCCTACTTTTATGCCTCCTCCTCCTCCTCCTGACAGGACGCGCAGGGTGCCACTCGGAACGAATGCAAAAACAGCCCGCCGCAAGCGCCGAAAATTTTGACTTGTACACTGGACGCGGTTTGGGTCGCGGGTGGGTCGCAGGTTCTCCACCTGGAACGAATGCAAAATAAGCCCGCCGCAGGTGCCGAAAATTTTGGGTGGGTCGCGGATGGGTCGCGGGTCGGTCGCGGGTGGGTGGCGGTGGGTCGCGGGTGGGTCGCGGGTGGGTCGCGGGTGGGTCGCGGGTGGGTCGCGGGTGGGTCGCGGGTGGGTCGCGGGTGGGTCGCGGGGTGGGTCGCGGGTGGGTCGCGGTCGCGGGGGCGGGGTGGGTCGCGGGGGGTCGCGGCGCGGATGGGTCGCGGGTCGCGGGTGGGTCGCGGGGTGGGTCGCGGCGCGCGGGTGGGTCGCGCGCGGGGGGGTGGGTCGCGGGTGGGTCGCAGGTTCTCCACCTGGAACGAATGCAAAAGAAGACCGCCGCAGGCGCCGAAAATTTTGGGTGGGTCGCGGGTATGTCGCGGGTGGGTCGCGGGTGGGTGGCGGTGGGTCGCGGGTGAGTCGCGGGTGGGTCGCGGGTGGTTCGCGGGGTGGGTCGCGGGTGGGTCGCGGGTGGGTCGCCGGTGGGTCGCGGGGGGGTCGCCGGGGGGGTCGCGGGGTGGGTCGCGGGCGGGTCGCGGGTTGGGTCGCGGATGGGTCGCGGGTGGGTCGCGGGAGGGTCGCGGGGTGGGTCGCGGGTGGGTCGCGAGGTGGGTCGCGGGTGGGTCGCGGGTGGGTCGCGGGTGGGTCGCGGGTGGGTCGCGGGGCGGGTCGCGGGTGGGACGACGACAACAACAAACAACAAACAACAACAAGAACAACAACAACACCAACAACAACAACAACAACAACAACAACAACGACGACGACGACGACGACGACGACGACGACGACAACAACAACAACCAGAATCCGCATCGCGGAATTCCACTTCAGCCACGCGCCCAGGGACAGTGAATGACCGTTCGGCTCAGCCCCCTCACTCTGACAAAACGACGTAGCAGATGCAAGCGGCGAATCAAATCACGAGGTACCACCACAGGGGGCACACACACACAGGTGAATGCCCACGCCGAACACAAAGACGGTTGAGATGAACCCTCGCTGCGAACTGAGTTGGGAGACCACCCGTTTGATTCTGAATAAAATCAGCTAGTATACCCATATATATATATATATGTGTGTGTGACTGTATGTGTGTACTCGGCGTTCTGCCACAAGAACCACGGGGAAGGCAAAGCACTGCCAGCATTCCTCGACGCACTATATGCCATTCGGGTACACAAGCAAGAGGGTTACGCTCCCCAGTATTGAGCGGACCATAGAAACCAGTAGAAGATAGCCATACAACACAAGTGGAACAGGTAGAGATTGTTGAAACTGCCGCGCACAAGGGAATAGGATGGCTCCCTGACGGGCTTCTTTACGGAGAGAACCACAAAATGTGGTCGAAGTCCACGCAGGAACTGTGGATTCAGCACGAACGCAAGGGAACTGTCGAGACCGAGGTTCAGCCCGACCAGGTCGGACTTGTGAACCACGACGCTGAATGTTGGATGTGCTGGGGAAGTCTGACATCAAGTCCAGTGCACTCAGGATGTAACATCTGTGCCAACATACGCTCGATGGTGAGCGCCTTCAACTCAATAGGACTCAAAGACAAAAGCAACATTGCCAACAGACTTGGGGAGGGAGACATACCGCGGCAACTCAGAATGACGAAGAGATTGGAACCCAAGCAACGCAGGAAGACCAGGGAGACGACGAGCCTGTGAATCGTTAGCCTTGCCAGTATGAATGCCATTGTGGCCAAACAGAAGATCGACAGCAGCACCAGAACCCGCTGATAGTCGGAAGGTATCGAGCCGGAACTGGAACCACTCCACGGCCCCATTGTTGATGTGGAACGCCATCCCACGAGGAATCGCAAGCACTGCTCGACGCGCCCACCCTGGGGCCCAGAGCGCACATGGCACCACGTGGCAGGGTAAGAGCCAATACCTGGGCAAGGGGCGCCAGCACCAAGTGGCCAGCAGCGCAAGAACGCCCGACACGAAGGCGGCCAGGCACAATCGACTGCAAGATAAAGAACACAGCTTGACACACCACCCAGCAATCACAGCACCAGACAAGGGACCAAGGAGACAGGTGTGAGCACGAGCGAATTGGGTGGCCTCTGGTGCCCACAAATTCGACGATGCAGGCGGGGGCACTTCACCGCAATCGGCATGACACGAACTCAGACAGGAGAGGAGGGATAAAAACGACAATGGATGAGCACACGGGATGTGGAGACGGACGTCCAAACCAGCAAGAGAGAAGTGCCAGCCACGCAAGTAACAGAGTGCCCACTCGCGCCTCTCGGAGCGTGCACGCCACCGCTGCGGCACTCCCAGGAGAGGGGAAGGTGTGCAAAATGCCACGGGAGGCGGCAACGACTCACACCACGACAAAGGACACCCGCGAGGTGGAGGATCACGAGGAAGAGGGGACGCTCGAGAGATGAACAGACTGACGGCCGCTGAACATCGGAACACCTGCCGGTCTCGAGATGATCGGAACCCCTGCGATGCACAGCGCTGCTTCGCGCGTCAACATCTGGCCCGGCGGCTCTGCGGTGGGGCCGCCCGCCGGCGGGTCGAGCGCCCGCGCGCCGCGGAAAGAGTCCAGAGCCAGAGCACCTGCGGTAGGGAGCAGCCTGACATGGGCGGTGATGGTGCTGGCGCTGAGAATGGCGCTGATGAGGATGACAACGACGCTGGCAACGACGGTGATGGTGGTGGTGGTGGTGATGCTGCTGCGGACGATGATGATGCTGTTGATGCTGATGATGCTGATGGTGATGGTGACGATGACGATGATGATGACGGTGACGATGATGGTGGTGACGATGATGGTGGTGATGGTGGTGACGGTGGCGGCGATGGTGATGATGAGGATGATGGCGATTCACATAAAGATGACGATGACGAAGGTGGTGAGGATGATGATGACAATGGTGGCGATGGTGATGATGACGGTGACGATAGCGATGGTGGAGCTGATGATGACGATGATGCTGAAGATGCTGATGTTGATGATCGTGGTGGCGATGGTGATGATGATGATGATGATGATGATGATGATGATGATGATGATGATGGTGATGCTGATGATGATGGTGATGATGATGATGATGATGGTGATGGTGATGGCGATGCTGTTGTTGTTGATGATGATGATGGTGATGATGATGATAGTGATGATGATGATGATGATGATGATGATGATGATGATGATGATGATGATGATGATGATGATGATGATGATGATGATGATGAGTATGCTGACGATGAGGATGGTGAACAGGATGAGAAGACTGATGATGATGCTGATTAGAATGATGATGGTGGTGATAATGATGGTTATGATGATGATGGTGGTGATGATGATGATTTCCGTCCAGCGCTAAAGCGCCGAAACATGTCGTGACACTTCGCGACCTTCTACTCGTACCCCGTTTGGGAGGCCTGGAAGGGTGGAGCCCCCGTTCTAGCCAGCCTCGAACTCATCCCTATCCCTAAAAGATGGGCGAGCAGAAAGCGAGGACAATCCTAGGGGCAGGCCCTCGGAGACTGAGGGAATCCTTGAGATCGGCGCCGAGGTGAGGTGATGCCAAACATGGGGACAGGGATAGGGATATGCTCCAGGCCGGCAAAGACATTCCCCGCCCAGGGGCCGCTCGGCGGACACGCCTCCCCCGCGTCGCCCAGCAGCGGCGTGGACAGCGCTTCTGGGCCGCGGGGCGCCCGGGAGGAGGCCGCCGCCTGCCCCGGCGCCTCGGGCGGCGGCTCCTGGGCGGCCCGGGGGGGCGGAGAGCGGCGGGGCGAGGAGGAGGCGGAGGAGGAGGAGGAGGAGGCGGAGGAGGAGGAGGAGGCGGAGGAGGAGGCGGAGGAGGAGGAGGCGGAGGAGGAGGAGGAGGAGGAGGAGAACGGCTCCTAGGCCGAGGAAGAGGAGGAGGCGGAGGAGGAGGAGGAGGAGGCGGAGGCGGAGGCGGAGGCGGAGGAGGGGGAGAAGGGGGGGGAGAGGGGGACCACCAGGCGGACCTAGTCGTGCAACCGAGGGACGACAGCACGGGCCATTCTCATGGGCCACCTCGACCAAACAGATCAAGCGGGGAGGCGATACGCGAACGTCCAGAATAGAAGGCCCTCAAACATATAGGGGCAAGCCCGACTCAGGAAGCCGCCCTGCCCCGATGACGGCAGTGTTATGATCATGTCTGTACCTAGTGGGCCATGCTCGGCGGGCCCAGCACGTTGGCCTTCAAAAGCCGACGGTTGGCCACTCTGCCCTGGGTCGCCCCGTACGAGCCGCATGTGGTGCACACCATGGCCACGAGGGTCACCAAAACTTGATGCCCATGGCGTTGGACGATAGCTTCAGCGGCCACCGACACCACTTCACGGACCGAACTCGCGAGGAAGCGGAGGAGGAGGAGGACAAGGAGGAGGAGGACAAGGAGGACAAGGACAAGGAGGAGAAGGAGGAAGAGGAGTAGGAGGGAAAGGAGGAGGGGGAGGGGAAGGAGAAGTGAGAGGAGGAGAGGAAGGAGATCAGAGGAGGGGAGGAGGGGGAGGAGGCACAGTGGCGGTGCAGGGTGCAGGCGTGCATGCTGGGCCGAAACTAGCGGGGTCTGGGCGACGGCGGCCGGGGAACCGCTATCGCACCCTGGACAGGAGCATGGGAGGACGAATGGGGGGAAGGGGACGAGGAGCGAAGTGGGGGGAGATCGGCCCGGGCTGCAGTGAACTCGCGCCTTGTTAGACGGGTGCCGCACCTGCAACGGCTTCGTGACCGACTGGGGGCCACCCAAAAAGACAGAGCGAGGGCTCGTTCATCGATTGCCGAAGGAACGGGCGCGTTGGCAACCCCAATGGGGGTGGCGGAGCCACTGAGAAGAGAAAGCCGGGTTGCCCGTGCCGCCCTGGTGGCGTACTCCAGAGGGCTCGGGGGAGATGCTCTTCGGAGGCAAACAGTATTCTGACAGACGCCCCGTGCGTCCTCCAACTACTCAGCTGGAGCCCTGCGCACCATCAGCAGGGGGAGAGGCAACGATGACGAGGAGGAGGTAAGGTAGTGTGAGGTTCGGCGGCGAGCCCAAGGGGAAATAAGAAGGTGCTGGCCTTCTCAAAAGGCTCGGAAATCCCCCGGCCTCCTGAGAAACTCTCGAGGCCTCCCCCGAAGACGCGCAGAAAAAAACCTCCCAGAAGGCCGGCGAGGCCGTCTGAGTAGCCCCGCCGCCGTCTGAGAGGGCCTCCTCCTGAGGAGGAGGAGGAGGAGGAGGAGGAGGAGGAGGAGGAGGAGGAGGAGGAGGAGGAGCAGGAGGAGGAGGAGGAGGAGGAGGAGGAGGAGGATGGGCAGCAGCAGAAGGAGCAGCAGCAGAAGGAGCAGGAGGAGGAGGAGGAGGAGGAGGAGCAGTAGGAGGAGCAGAAGGAGGAGGACCCTCGCTCGCCGCCGAGAGGCGAGGGCGCTCGGCGGCCCCGAGGAGCCCCGCGTGGCGCCCCCAGGGGAGGCCCCGCAGCCCCGGCGGGCGGCCTCTCGCGCCCCCCCCGAGGAGCGGTGCCGCCCCCGGCGCGGGCGGGCCCTCCGGCGAGGTGCCCCGCGCGCGGTGCCTCCCGGCCTCCGCGGCTCTCCCGAGGGGGCAGGGGCGAGCGAGGGAGGGAATAAACTTGCGGGCTCGAGGTTCGAGGTCTTCGGGCGTTTCCGTCGGCTCTCGGCGCTCTGCCAGCCCCGGGATGCTCGCCAACAGCTGCGCCTCGCCGAGGGCGTTCTGAGGGGGGCCCCGACCGTCCCGAGCGGTCGCTGGAGGCACGAGTTATGACCCCGAAACCAAATGCGGCGGTGCGCCCGGGGGTAAGCGAGAGGGAGAAGGCCTTCTCGGAAAGCGGCGGGGCTTCTCAGAAGCCCTCGCGCGCCTGCTGAGAAGTTGTTGTCTGTGTCTCCGGGGAAGGCTTAGAGAACTTCTCAGAAGGCCGGGGGACTTCCGAGCCTTCCTGAGGAGGCCCGTTCCTTCTCACTTCCCCCCGTCGCTCGCCGCCGATAGGGGGCAAGAACCTGGTCTACGGTCGCCCGGCATAGTAAGGACGCACGATGAGGACGCAAAAAGGCTTCGGATGCAAGGCTCGAGGCGAACCTGAGTGGAGCCACAAGTTGAGATACAGTCAGCCCATGCAAAAAGGATGCGCGGTAAGGATGCGCGAATCGCATGAACTCTATAAAGGGTTTGGCTTGTTCTCGCCACGCCCACGAGCCCCGACCTTCCCCCTGCGGGCCTTGGCCCCCTGCCCGACGAGCGCCGGCTCTGGAAGCGTGCCCGCAACGGTTGGGCAAGCAAAGGGTTGGAGGAGGAGGGTAGAAAAGGAGGAGGAAGAGAAGGAGGAAGAGGAGGGGGAGGAGGAGGAGAAGGAGAGAGGAGGAGAAGAGGAGGAGGAGGAGGAGAAGGAGAGGAGGAGAAGAGGAGGAGGAGGAGGGGGCCCGCAAAAGCAGGCCGTCGGCGTGGTCTCGGGCAGCGAGGGGGCTGCGCTCCACCCGGCTCGGGTGCGCAACCTCGGGCTGCGCGCGCGCCCCGCTGTAAAAGGTGCGCCGTGCTTGCAGAGCTCTGGGGCCTGCGGTGGCAGGAGGAGGAGGCAGGAGGAGGAGGAGGAGGAGGAGGAGGAGGAGGAGGAGGAGGAAGAGAAGGAGTAGGAGTAGGAGGAGGAGGAGGAGGAGGAGGAGGAGGAAGATGAAGAGGATAGGGCGGATAGGGGATGAGGATGAGGTGGGTGAGGAGGGTAAACTGAAGGGGGGGACTTGTGAGAAGGAGGGGTGGGTGGGTGGAGGGGGGAGGGGGAAGAGGAGGACGTGAAGGGGGAAAGATGGGGAAAGAGACAGTCGGGGGGAGGGCAGAGGGGGGAGGCTGGAGGATGAGGAGGGCAACCATGGGAGATATCAGGGGCACAAGAGAACAATATCTCGGATCGGGCACCTAAGGTAAACGGTTTGTTTAGACACGTACGGGGACCCATAAAAACCTACACGCGACCAACATACATTGGAAACACAACAGAACCCGAGGTAACAACATTAGCAGGTTCGGGTAAACCGTCGGGCACCGCTGGACATCATCGAACATCTGAGAGAACAAATTGGCAGTCCTAGGAAAACCAACACAACCGTGAAGGACCAAACAAACAGCACACAAACCAAAGGGCAAGCCATGGGGCACCTAACGGACATCAGGATGCCGAAGGACATCTCGGACCAACAATAAGAGAAGCGAACGGCAACCATCGAACAACGAAGGGGAACCTGGGAAACGAAAAGGGACACCGTTAGGAACAACATCTACAAATCTACAGATCTACATCGCGTCCGTGAACAAACACGCAAAGGCTTGTCAGCAAAAACCGGGCGAAATGTAGTATGAGAGCAGCACTTGTCGCACACGATTGGGCTCTTGAGCCCTTGAGACAAGGTCTCTCCCAGGGGCTCCTAGCATTGTGGGCGTCCTGCGGAGAATGTCGGTCAGGCCAAGGACCCATTGCTACTTACGGCCAATAAGTCTTCCTTCTCTGTTACTATTTAAGACAACGTTGCACGAATTTGCATTAACTCAGTTCTCCGTGTTTGTCATGAGATGCATGGTTTTCTTTGGATCGTGTTAGTTTCTACCCGTATGCATTAGCTTCCATAAATTATCAGTCATCTCATTCGGCTCCATTACTCTTCAAATCTGTCAACGACTCCCCGTCAAAACTGCCACTGGCGCGTCGCGCACACCAGAACATTGCACCATCCAGAAAAAAACGACGACGACGACGACGACGACGGCGACGGCGACGACGACGACGACGACAACAACAACAACAACAACAACAACAACAATTACTAGCACGTGGGGACACTCCGTTCTCACCAGTGCCAAGGTTTTCATACGACGCCCGCCAATACCCCCACTTTGTGGGGGGGCCGGTTCAAGCTCTACCACATTTCCAAACGACTCTTCGCCACCACCCACACCCAGCTTCCCGCCCTATGACGTTCGGACACTTCACTTCGTGGCCTGCGGACGACCGTGGCTACTAACTGGCGCATGGGTACATGGGTACACTGGAAAGAGCTTGCGAAAGTAGCTCGCGCGAGCTCATGTAACATAAATGTTGAAAAACCATTGGTTTTTTAGGATTCGGACAGCGCGCGCGGGTAGAAATTTTGAAAATTCGTACAGATGTTTTTCGAGGACCTACGGTGCGATTCGTATGATTTTATGTTGCGCGGTGCTAAAATTCCTAAGAAACCCAATGGTTTTTGAAGATTTCGGCGTGCGCGCGCGAAGAAAAAACGAATGTGTCCCGCATGGTATTATTTGACAGGGATGATGGCCCTGGCAGGTGCGCAACCGTTGTTGCAGAAGTTCGAAAAAGTTGCTCGCAAAAGCCCGTTTGACAGAAATGTTAAAAAGTGGTTTCCCTACGAATCCGCAAGAGCGCGCGGGATGAAATTTTGACATTTTTTTTGAAAAACCATTGGTTTTTTGATGTGTTTATGTTAAAATCGCTACGAAAACTAAGGTTTTGGAAGGATTTCGTCTTGCGCGCGCGAATGTCCACTTTACCTTATTTTTTGCAAGGGATTCTTGAAGTTTGGTTATGTTAGAACAAGAAATGTCCACTTTAGCTTATTTTTTGCAAGGGAAAACCGATCGTAACAACACAACCGGATCCGGACTCCCCCGTTTTGCCTGAGACGTTCCTCACGAAAATGATGAAAATGAGGCTGCGGCCTAGGCGCGGCGGGGGGGTCGTGCACCAGGGGCCCCAACAATAATTATTCTTTAGAAGTAATAATGTTCAACAACAACAACACAACAACAACAACAACACAACAAACAACAACAACAACAACAACAACAACCAACAATCATTTTACCCGAACGCTCAGTGTTCTCACCAGTGCCAGGGTTTTCATGCGACGCGAGACAATACCCCCACTTCGTGGGGGGGCAGTTCAAGCTCTACCAAATATCCAAACGACTCTTCGCGACCACCCAAACCCAGCTTCCCGCCCTATGACGTTGGGACACTTCACTTCGTGGCGTGCGGACGACCGTGGCTACTACACTGGCGTGGGGTACACACCCACAGAACTTGGTCACTTATTCGGGGCGCGCGTGTGCCCAGCATCCTGCAATTGTGACATACAATACATGACACAGACAGACAGAGAGAGAGACAGAGAGCAGACAGAGAGAGAGACAGAGAGAGCGGAGTTGGTCACATTTTTGGGGCAAGTTCCTAAGATCGTCGTGTTTTTTGTTGGTCTTGCGCGCGCGAATGTCCACTTTACTTTTTTTTGCAAGGGAGTATTGAAATTTGATTATGTTAGAACAAGAAAAAGTAGCTCGCGCGAGCTCATGTAACATGTTGAAAAACCATTGGTTTTGTGGGAGTCGGACAGCGCGCGCGGGATGAAATTTGGACATTTTTTTTTGAAAAACCATTGGGTTTTTGATGTTTTTATGTTGAAATCGTTACGAAACCTAAGGTTCTGGAAGGATTTCGTCTTGCGCGCGCGAATGTCCACTTTACCTTATTTTTTGCAAGGGATTATTGAAATTTGATTATGTTAGAACAAGAAAAAGTAGCTCGCGCGAGCTCATGTAACATAAATGTTGAAAAACCATTGGTTTTGTGGGATTCGGACAGCGCGCGCGGAAGGACATTTTGACATTTTTTTCTTAAAAAACCATTGGGTTTTTGATGTTTTTATGTTAAAATCGTTACGAAACCTAAGGTTTTGGAAGGATTTCGTCTTGCGCGCACGAATGTCCACTTTACCTTATTTTTTGCAAGGGATTCTTGCAATTTGATCAAGTAAGAACAAGAATTTTCATTTTATAGTGTTTTTTGCAAGGGAAAACGGATTACAACAAAACAACCGGATCCGGTGACAATCCACTTTTCTGAAGCTTTCGCTAGAAAATGAAGGAAATGAGGCTGCGGCCTAGGTTTTGGAGGGGGGTCGCGCACCAGGGGTCTCAACAATAATATTTCTTTAGAAGTAATAATATTCAACAACAACAGCAGCAGCAACAACAACCGCCTGCTGCCGGCCTCGCTTACAAACAGGCGCCTCGGTCTCGGGCCGAAAGGGGTTTCTGCTCTAGGGCCTTCGGCGCAAATGCGCGCGCGGGTGGATTCGAGTGGGCGTGGTTGAATATGTGTCTGGTGGCTGATGTGCGTGGGCGCGGGTAATCAGCGCGAGCCAGCAAGGGGGGGCCAAGTGCAATTGGATACAGAGAGGCGACCATCTGACACCAAAAGGAAGCCTTTCAAACCACAAAAGAAACCAAAAGGCACCAACGGGCCCTGGGCACCCAAAAGGACACCATAAGAAATCACAATACGGCTTTTTGCACTCGCAAAAAAAAACTTCTGGGCACCAAAGGCAAGCAACCTGATCGAGGAAGACATCGGGAAGTTCGTGAGAAGCATACAGGGAGCATCAGTATGACACCGAGGCAACATCAGTCAAACCCAATGTCCCCGATTGGAAACAACAGGAAACCCATTGGCAACTTAATGGACATCGACGGAAAGCCACTGGCAGACCAAGGGCAACACCATGAACACAATAGGATACCACGTCGACAGGAGACGGAGGGAAAGGGGGGCGGCGGGGCCAACACTAAGAACAAGAGGTGGCGAAGTGCATATCGGATCGATGACGTCCGTCCTCCCCCTGGGCCCCTGCCTCCTCGTTCCTCCTCCCTCCCATCCCTCCTACCTCCGCTGCCTGTCTCATCCTCCCACCTCCTCCTTCGCTCTCCCTCTCGCCCCGCGTCCTCAGCCTGTTCCCTCTGCTTTATTTGGTGGCGCTGCCAGGTACGAGCACGAGCAACGGGTGGCACGAGTGGGACAAGGCCGAAGGCGCGGCCACCAGCCGCGGGCGAACGGTGTCAAACAAGCGACGGCACGGTGCGGCACGAACCGCGCTTGGCGCATGAAAAGCCATGCGGGGGCACGGGCAGCGGGCCAAGGCCAGCAGCAACACGGCCAGGGCCAACGGGCACGGCGAACGAAACAAACCCTCATAACACGTGTTGATGAGATTCGCGCCTGGACCTGGAGATCTCTGGACCAGGCCCCTGCCCCTACTATCCTCGGGGAGGGGGGGAGCGTCTAGCAGAGGAGGAAGGAGGGAAGGACCAGGGA